GGATGGTTTTGTGGCATTAAGCCACCTGCGCTCTTAAGCGCTTTGTTTTTTTCAATTATTTATTATGAAGTTTATGGTTTGGAATTGCCAGGGTGCAACCTCAAATTCGTTTAGGCGCACCCTCAAGCAATATTCTCGTGATTTTAACCCATCTCTAATTTGTTTGCTTGAACCTAAAGTTTTAGGTTCCCAAGCTAATATGATTTGCTCCAGCTACGGCTTTGATGAGTGGCTTCGGGTTGAATCAGTGGGCTTCTCCGGAGGCATTTGGATCCTTTGGAAGGAAGCCATTGATATTGAAATAATTAAACCTAACCCCCAGTATATTACTATGCAGGTGAATGATAGGGAGGGTGGTCCATGGATACTATCGGTGGTCTACGGCAGTCCTTGCTATTCCCTTATAAGGAAGGTGTTTGCTGAGTTAACAAGCCATAGTTTCAGTAATCAAAGACCTTGGTTGGCAGTGGGAGATTTTAATGCAGTCACTAACCACAGGGAAATCAGCAATTCATTGAATTTTTCTTCATCAAGATGTATGGAGTTCAATGAGTGGATATTTAGGGAAGGTCTAATTGACTTGGGTTATATTGGCTCTAAATATACTTGGATGAGAGGTCTTAGCACAGAAAATTTTAAAGGGGCTCACCTTGATAGAGCCCTTAGTAATACAGATTAGAAGCTGAGGTTCCCGGAAGCGAATGTGAAACACTTGCCGCTCCTCAGCTCGGATCATTGCCCCCTGCTCATTAGCACCAATCAACCTCGGCCAGTCAACAGGAGTAAGAGATTTAGATTTAATATGGCTTGGACATCTCATGCTAGCTTTCAGGCCCTTGTTCAACACGTTTGGAATAATGAGGCTGAGTTGCAAGACAATGCCAAGCACATGGCAGAAGCATGTCTAGCATTGAATTCAAACATTTTTGGGAACATCTTCCATAGGAAAAAGCGATTGTTGGCCAGATTGAGTGGAATCCAATGGTGTTTGGGATACCATCCTAGGCCGGACTTGCTGAGATTGGAGAGGAAACTTCGGAAAGAGCTCGAGGAAACTTTATACCAAGAAGAATTAATTTGGTATCAGCGATCAAGAGAAGAGTGGATTACGTCAGGCGACCGGAACACGCATTTTTGCCATCTAGCAACTTCGGTTAAAAACTCACATGCAAGGATTATTTCACTAATGGATGATGATGGCCAGATCATAATGGAGGAAAATCAGCTAAGAGATCACGTGAAATGCTATTTTGAGGATCTTTTTACAGAAGAAGAAACTGTTTGCTCACAATCCTTGCTGCAAGGGGCATTCCCTCAACTTGGTGAATCTGATTGGGCACAAGTTAATAGGCCATTCTGCCCGGAGGAAGTCAAGCAGGCCATTTTGATATGTCTCCTTGCAAATCACCGGGTCCGGATGGGTATACAGCCGGCTTCTACCAGAAAACATGGAATATAGTTGGCACCAGCTTGGTGGACTTCACTAAGGAATTCTTTGAGAATGGGAAGCTTTCTCCGGGATGTAATGAGACCTTCATCTCGCTAATCCCTAAGGTTGATAATCCAGTTTCAGTGAAACAATTCTGTCCTATTGGTTTATGCAATGTGTCTTATAAGCTAGTAACAAAGATGATGACAATCAGACTCAAATCGATCTTGAAGAAGTTAATAGGGCCCTTCCAGCCTAGTTTTGTTCCGGGCAGACAAATTACAAACAAAATTCTCATCTTCCAAGAAACGATCAATTCAATGAAGACCAAGAAAGGGAAGACGGGTTGCATGGTCATGAAGGTGGATTTTGAAAAAGCTTACGATAGGCTTTCGTGGAGGCTAGTGGAGGACACTTTGCAAGACATTAGCTTCGACCAAATATGGATAAGGAATATAATGAATTGTGTGTCGTCATCTAGATTGGCAGTTTTATGGAATGGGCAGCAAACTAGCTGGTTCAAACCGAAAATGGGAATAAGACATGGAGACCCAATTTCTCCTTTGATTTTTGTACTATGTGTTGAAAGGCTTAGTCATCTCATTATTGATTCTGTTAATAGGGGTTGTTGGAAAGGTATTAGGGTCTCTAAGCATGGTCCTTATGTATCTCACCTTATGTTTGCAGATGACATGACGCTTTTTGGGGAAGCTACGATCGAACAAGCTGTGGAGATGAAGAGATGTTTGGAGCTGTTCTGTGCGGCTTCCGGCCAAAAGGTCAATTACCATAAGTCCTCGGTATTCTTTTCAAAGAATACCCCCCCCCCCCCCCCCCAGAGATATAGCAGAGAATTGTAGATGAGACTGTCATTCCAAAGGTTTTAGACCTGGGAAAATACCTGGGCATTCAATCCATTCATGGAAGGCTGAAACTTGAATCCTTTGCGGGAATTATGGAGAGAATCCAAGATAGGCTAACTGGTTGGAAGTCAAAGTCTCTTTCTTTGGCCGGCAGACACGTAATGGCGCAGTCAGTGTTATCGGCCATTCCGTATTTCACGATGCAGACGACTCTTTTTCCTGCAGGGGTGATAGCATCTATTGAGAAAATTATTCGCAATTTCCTTTGGGGCAGCAAAGCAGGAGAAAAGAAGTGTCATCTTGTTAAATGGGATACAATAACAAAAAGTAAAGACCAAAGGGGTTTGGATATTAGAAATTTACAACAAATGAATCATGCTTTCTTGGTCAAACTAGGTTGGCGAATTTTGCAAGGGGAAGATTCCCTTTGGGTCCAAATCTTCAAGTGAAAATATGATTTATCATCTGATGACTGCAGCAAGTGGCGCCCCAAGATTAATATGTCAAATACAATGAAAGGAATTCTAAAATCGACTCACATTCTCCAGAAAGGGATTAGAATGCAGGTAAACAATGGGAGAAAGACCTCGTTCTGGCAAGACTCTTGGCTTAAGGATTATCCATTAGCAGAAGATGCAATCACGGAGTTGCCCACGTCGGAACTTAGTAGACCAGTAGCTAGCTACTGGAAGGAAAACTCTGAATGGGACTGGGGTGAATTGACCTACTTCATTCCTGAGGACGTACGCACCAAGCTTCGTGCCTTTTCTATTGATATAGATTCAGAGGATGACGATGGAATCTCTTGGAAAATGGAGGCATCTGGTTGCTTCTCGGTCTCTTCTGCATACAAAATCAGTAGCGGGGAATCTAGACCTGTAGAAACAGCAAAGTGGAACAGCGTATGGAAAATTAAAGTCCCCAACCCTATTTGAATTTTCCTTTGGCTTGTTATGCATGAGAGGATAATGTGTAACAGCGTTAGATTTAAACGTAAAATGACGGATTGTGATAAATGCGCATTCTGTTTGGATAGCACTGAAGATACAGATCATGTATTACGTTCCTGTCCAGTTGCGGCAGAATTATGGAAAGCCATCTACCCGTCCAGCTATAACAGATTGAGCTTGATGCCCTTCTCTAAGTGGTTGGAGGAGGGATTGGCAGATAAAGGCAAAGGCAGGAAGCTAGGCAACGATAATATCCTTTTTGCTATTACAATTTGGTGGATATGGAGATGGAGAAATGAAGCTGTGTTTTATGGTTCATGCAAGCCACTGCAGTTCCAACTTTCATGGATTAATTCCCAGGTCTTGGAATTCTTGTCAGCCTTTGCAAGAGCTAAGGGCATTAATTCAGCAAAGGAAGTTGGTGCATGGAAACAACTCTCTTGGTCTAAACCCCAGGAGGGCTTTGTTAAGGTAAATGTAGATGGCTCCTCTGTTGTTTCCTCAGGCAGTGCGAGTTGCGGGGGAGTCATAAGGGACTGTGATGGCCATTGGAAGAGAAGATTTAGGTTTAATATTGGAAATTGCTCATCGTTTGAAGCAGAGGCATGGGCTCTCTTGAAGGGTATTCAACTAGTTATACAAATGGGAATTACTAAGGCTGTATTCGAATCAGATTCCACCTTTCTTGTGGATTACATACTCAATACCAGACCACCCTGCATTGCGGCTCATAATGTTTTAGAGGCCTGCAAGAAAGAGCTTAGAAGATTAGAAGTTTGGCAGCTATTTCCAGTAGCGAGAGAACTGAATGGTGTGGCCGATATGTTAGCTAAATCTTCTTATAAGTTCCCCATAGGCTTGCATGTGCTCTTCGATCCACCAGATGAAGTACTTGGCCTCCTTGAAGATGACTTAGCAGGCTACCCTTCGTGGCGTTTTCTTTGTAATCCTAAATAGTCATACTCTGTACTTTGGGTTTCCCCCTTCCTTACTAATATAAAAAAATGTTTATTTTTATCTTAATAAATTGAATGGTCAGTTTTTGAAGGTTCATTTTTTAATACATTGAATGCTCATTTTTTGAAGATTCATTATTTGTATACTGAAGATACATTATTTGGTACATCACAAATAATGAACCTTAAATATATTAAAAATAACATTTATATATATTCATAATCCACATTGTAATGTGGAGCATGATTCACAGTATAATCTAAGCTAATCTAACTCTATAATAAAGCAAGAAGTTTTTGACAAAATTTTTTCCCGCCCATTTGATACTACGACGTTTTGAGAAGATATCATAGATAGAATATCCGGTTATTTAATCGCGTGTCTAATGACATTACACATTGGGAATCTGCCTAACCGTTTTGATAGAGAAAACTCTTCGTATTCTAAAGCAATTCAAATCTACCCAACCTACAATCCTTGCTTCCCAAGCAGTTCATTTAACGTAGAACTCTTGGTAGTCTAAACTACATCATTATCATCATCTGATAACAAAAGCTTAACTAAAGAGATGCTCACAGTAAAAAAAAAAAAAGAAGAAATTTATATAGAGAATACACAGAGTTTAAATCTGCATTTTAACCATTCAATGAAATCGTCTATTTCCCATAAAGTGGCTGCTGTTCATAAACTTGAAATCTTCAAATCTTCAAACTCTATAAATAACCGGCTTATGGGTGCAAAAATTCCTTTCGAAAATAAGATTATTGTTCTAGCATTTGAAATCACTTTTGGTTGAACAAAATGCCTTCAATGTTCATAGCTGTGAAAAACATCAAACCTGAACACCATCTCAGGGCAATCCAGGTTAGAGTAGTACGGGTATACGAAGTTCCAGAGAAAAGGGGAGAGGGCCAGACCAGTAAGAGTATGGAAGTATTGTTCCATGATGAAGAGGTATTGTTTTTTTTTTTTTTTTTTTTTAATGCATCATATTACTGCTATATACTAATCTAATCCTATTTCAAATCCTACTAATTTCTGTTTTTGTGATTGGCAGGGAGACTACATTCATGCCACCATTCAAAAAAAAGATGTGGTCAAATATAGAGAAATATTAAAAGAGGGGAAACTGTTCGAAATTAAAAATTTCATGGCTGCCACAAATGACTATGTGTACAAGATTACACAACATGAGTATATGATCAAATTCAACTATAAAACACAAGTGAAGGAGATAAGTTCTATAGGATTTCCTTTTAAAATGTTTCACTTAAAGAGTTTCATTTCTTTAAAAGACCCTGCCGATGTTAATGACAAGGAACTTATTGGTACTATCTCTACATTTGTAAAGTTTTTTAATATCTTACTAAACTGAACTACTAACATCTTACTGTAATTCTTTTTAACTTGGCAGATGTTATTGGTCGTGTCATTGAGATCTATAATTCTGTGGATAAGATTATAGGTGGAAATGCAACACGACTTAGTGACTTTCAAATTGAAGACAATGCGTAAGTTTTAAATAAATTTACTTTGCTTCAATTAACACAATTACTGTATTTAGTCTTTAATACAATAGTTTTTTTTTTTGTTTTGTACTGATTTGATGACAGTGAGAACACCCTGACATGTACACTTTGGAATGAACATGTTTCTTCTCTTATGTCGTATTACAATAGTGATTCGAAGGAACCACTTATTGTAGTCATTCAGTGCTGTCGGGCTAAGTTGGTTAGTGGTAAGTTTTTCTATCCTGTTGAGTCTAATGCCTATTACTCAGTTCAGTTACCTAATATATCTATGTTTTTTTTTTTTTTTTTAGGTGAGGTGAGAATCACCAGCTCATACGATGCTACCAAGTTTTGGTTCAATGAGGATTTTGAGGAATTCCTAGAGTTCAAGTCGAAGTAAGTAGACCTAATTTAAGTCTTATTAAATTGACTCATCTACTGTAATTAGTCAGACAAAAAAATTACTCATCTACTGTCTACTGTAATTAGTCATATACTGTAATATAATAAGGTCAATTAGTCATCTACTGTAATTAGTCATATACTGTAAATTTACTCATCTACTGTAATTAGTCAGATAAAAAACATTTTCTGAAACAATATACTGTAATACTGTAATTCCTAGAAACAATTAGTCGTAAATGTTTAGGGAATTTAGTCATACTGTAATTCCTAGAAACAAATAGGGAAGGTAGTCATAAATGTTTTATGAATTTAGTCAAGTATGGGCATCAGAAAATATTTTCATCACATGCAACTTTCTGGAAAAAAAGGTGTTAGTATATAATTAATGGAATAGTATATAGAGAACACTAAGAAATTTCTACTTACATTTAACCGAAGAGATCAGACACAGACACAGTTTGGTAGTGGCCACATAAAACCATGTCAAAATCCAAAGGAATAAGGCAAATAGGCAATTTAGTCATAAATGTTTTATAAATTTAGTCAAGTATGGGCATCAGAAAATATTTTCATCACATGCCATTTTCCGGGAAAAAAAAATGTTAGTATATAAATAATGGAATAGTATAAAGATTTATAATTTTAGCAGCTATATAACAAGTCTGTTTCTTCAAAAATGTTTTATGAATTTAGTCAAGTATGGGCATCAGAAAATATTTTCATCACATGCCATTTTCTGGAAAAAAAATGTTAGTATATAAATAATGGAATAATATAAAGATTTATAATTTCAGCAGCTATATAACAAGTCTATTTTTTCAAAAATTTTGTTGAAGGTTGAAATCTGAAAATACTCCCATGCGAAGTCTTAGTACTAGCACTCTGCACTCACAGTCTACAGGCATTAGTGACTTTAAAAATGCTTCTGTCATTGTCACTACTTGCTATGATCTTAAGAAGATTCAAGAGGTAAGCAAAAAAATTTACTACCTGTTCATAATTAAATTATATCTCACTTGCTCTATTTCTTTTACACATTAATTAATCTATGTGTATTTTATAGGATGGGGACTACAATGTTGCTGCTGCGATCTTGGGTTTAGATTGTGAGGATGGGTGGTACTATGTATCATGCATGTCACCCGGCTGTAATAAGAAACTTAAAGAAGAGGGATGATCACTCATTTGTACTAAGTGTCAAAAGCCATATACTCAGGGTACAGTCAAGTATAAAGTGCTGATCATTGCTCTAGACAAGAGTGGAGATGTTCCACTATTGCTTTGGGATAGAGAAGTGGCAGAACTGGTGGGGATTCCTGCTTCTCTTTTGTATCAGAAATACAAGGAGGTAAATTTTTGCAGCCTAAAAATACCTTATTGTTGAGACTGTAATGCTGTTAAAAATGGACTAATGCAATCTAAATTACCAGGTTGATGTTGAAGCACCCCCTGAGTTGGATACTATTGTGGGAATGAAAATGCTGTTTAAAATAGGTTTTAAATAGGCTCTAAAGAGGGGTATTAATTCTCCATACAATGTGTTAAGGCTGGTAAGGGATGAACATTTGCTGAAAACCTATAGTGACAAATTTGTGGAGCATCAATAGCAGGATTTAATGTCAAGGATGCTTGAGGAGGAAACCAACACTCATGAAAATTCTGAAGTAAGAATTTCTTACTAAACCTCTTAATAAGTTATGTAATTTTTATTACCTAATACTATAACTGAAACATGCTTTTGTTAAACACATGAAGAATCTATTGGAGAAGAGGTTAATAGTCCTGCATCTGTGCAGCCCTCTCAAAAGGATGTGGATGACACTGTTGTCAATTCAGTAACTACTAAAAGGTCACTTTTGGATGAGTTTTCTTCATCCAAAAGTCGCAAGAAGTTGAAGGAATCCAACATCAAGAAGGAAAAAATGTAGCATGATTTATTCTTAATAAATATTGTTATCATGATGTAGACAATTTAGTATGATGTATTTTGCTAATCCTGTGTGATCTTACTTATGACAGTGTTGTTGTTCTAATATTTTTTAAGGTTGGATAACTGTTTTGCTATTATTGTATTACTGTTAATCACTATTTGATATTAACTACTGTGACTAACTGCTAATAGGTCATATTGCTATGTGTAATTCATGGAAGTGAGGTTTTTTTTTTTTGCAGGTAAATAAGGTACAAATAGCAACTTGCTGGAATAGAGAATATGAAATATTCAGTGGCTATTTTTTTACCACTGTAATTTGTTTGGACTGTGGTTTTGGGCCTAATCTCAAATTTTGTCAAATTTTGGAAAATTGATTTCTATGGGGCAGTTTTATATTACCTTTCTTTCATTTTTCTTGATTTTCTGTTTAGGTACACTCTCAAGAATGATGGTGATGCAATGGAATAATCAAATATTCAACAAACATGCTAAAAAGACATTATATGTACAGATTCAACATTTTTGTATTCAAATTTAGAATAGAGATGTAAGTAGTACTAATTGATTTTTCTTGACAATGTAGATAAAGAGATTATTCAATAATAGCATTGTACCTTTTTTGTAGCTTTAATTATGCTAAGTTGTACCTTCAACAAACATGCTAAGTTGTTTGCCTTCACCATTGTTCACTTTAATTGCAACATATATCTGCCACTCGTAGAGAAATAAACCAACATGTATAATAAAATCCCACATCAAGTACTAAATAACTAATAACCTTAATTCGAGAAAAGTTCAAGGATTTTGAAACATCTATGTGGTTGGGAGATGATGAATACAAACATGTACATAAAACACCCTAAGTTAAATGAACAAATTCAAATTATACTAATCTGTTGTAATTTGAATGATATTCACTTTAGTAAGATTTCGTGTGTAGTGAGATATATATATATTTTGAATGCAACACTATAGTAACCTACTTTGGCTTCTTTGTTTAAACTATCATTCACTACTTTGTTTAAATATCATACACTATATTATAATAGTTCAAGTCAATACAACACATGCTGCTTTGCAAATTTGCATTTTAGTTACGAACATTTTTAAAAAATAGCATAACCTAATGCGATATTTTTTTTTTTTTTTTGCATTAGTTTTAAATTGAGTAATATTCAATTCAAAAAATTTCTGTACAAAAGTAATCCAAAAGTGACCACACAAACAAGTATGTACAATCTTAGAGCCCGAAATTGGCCCTAAGCAACTCAATACCACCAAAGAGGCCAAAAGGCTAAACAAAGAAGCCAAATTAGGCCTAAATAATCTGAAAATATTTATGTTTTAGTGGCAACTGGGCTATATACAGCCTAGTTGCCATGCTAATAACAGATTATTTAGGCCTTACGCTTTATGTAAATCACCATCGGATCACCAAGCTTGGTGATCTCCCTTCAAAACTCACCTAATTTCTAATATATAAAAATTTATGAACTAACAAACTGTGAGTTTTCTTTTTTTTTTTTTTGGGTTTTAAACTGAGGTTGTATATTGAATTTATAAAATTCTGTACAAAGGTGCCGCAAAAGTGACAACCTAAACAAGTATGTACAAGCTTAGAGCCCAAAAGTTGCTCTAAGCAACTCATGACCATCAAAAAGGCCAAAAGTCTAAACAAAGAAGCGAAATCTATCATTAAACAACTAGACATCTTTACCCCCAAATGGCCACTGGGCTAAATATAGCCCACCAGCAATGCTAATAACAGATGCCATGCAGATTAAGCTTCATCAAAATCACCATTGGATCACCAAGCTTGGTGTTCCCCCTTCAATACTCACCTAATTAACAAATTCAGCTCCACAGATAAGCTGCAACCCTCATGCAGAACCATCTGCAGTTTTTGGACTTGCAGTGCCCAGACACTTTGACCTGCTAAAGTAGACAACAAATATATAAAACCTCAATTGATTCCGGTCAAATCACAACTCAAGAATAGATAAATCTGCTAAATTTGGAGTTTTCATACATAATTGGTAAAGCATAACTAATTAAATATGTCAACAGAAGTTCAAACTATTTACAACATACTATTAAATACTACGATGACATGTTAATGGACCAAATAAATGATTAGTATTTCGGTTTAAAAACACGGCTATTTCCACTGACAGAAATAAATAACACAAGAATTTTAATACATTATAGAATCAAGTATGATGACAATTTAAGAGTTGGAAGTGAATTCAACAAAACAAATTAAACTAATCATTGCTCAGCAAATTTAGGAACTAAAGCCGTAGTTAATTTTAAATAATACAGTAATTGGGACACATTGAATCCCACAATCATAAAACCACCACTCGGTAACAAACTTAATATGTAATCTAATCTTACCTTGCATGAAAATTTAAAATTATAAACTGAAATATATAAAGAAAGTCTAACAAAGACAGAATAAAGTCAATAGATATATTTAGTATTAACATACAACATTACATTAAAGAATTCTTACTGTTTAGAAGGAAAAGTGAAAAAATTGTTTGAAAAACAATATATTATTTAAAATGAAATAAAAGTTGTCAACAACTATCATTACACCTACAAAAAACCCTTCAGTTCCACTTAAAAGCTCAAAAGTCCCAACAATATAAATATGCCCACATTACCACAAGACTTACTATTCTGCTAAATTCAAATAGGTTTGAACAAGTTTAAACACTGTCATAGGTCAGTCAAAATCAAGAATTCAAGGACATTTTTTTTAAAGATACACATTGCAATGAAGAAAATTACAAAGTCCACCATTATAGGCATCAAAAGGAAACAAAATGCAGAAAATAAAGGTAAATTTCAAAACTTATCTCTTAGCTTTTGGTAGGATATATGCCGACCGACCTAACTTAGTCTCCGCGTCATTTAGTACAGTTCCTTTGCCCGAGCGTTGTGGTGAGAAGGCGGTCGGTACCAGTCGTCCGTAGGACCTTGTGTTGACCTTCTTGCTTAGAGGCGTTCAAGTTCGCCCGCTTGATTTGTCTCCTGGCCGGTGTTCTGCTCGACCGACGTACCTTTGTTCCACGTGAAAGCGGTATCGCAAGAGAGGGGCAAGTGGCAGCACCAGGCAACGACAGAGAGTGCATATCAGGCTTTGACACGTGGATGTTGTGGAGTACATGCCGGTAGGCCGGAGGCTGTTCCCGGCGATGGGCTATAAATATCCACGGCGGATAAGGCGAAGGGGACTTTTGGAACGATCAAGAGGCTATATACAGAGCAGCCCGACCGCAGTTAGTCGGCCCTCGGAGTAGTCATGTAGATTATACTAGGTCTACGATGTATTTACACTATCATTTTGGCCTCGTCTGTGGGGAACGGTATAATTAGTCACGAACGAAGAAGTGCCTACATCCCGAAAACATGTATCCATATATGCAATATATAGGGGAGGATGCGAACAACTCTTCCGACCATCACACACAATATGGTCCAACCGTCGACCTGAACCTCTACCTCTCACCCCCTCACTCGGTGGCTCCTAACCCGGTCAATTATGTTCAACCGATGTATCCGCCACCTGGCCAGTAACTCCCGTACCCGGGATACTTTCCACATCCAGCACCACCTGCTCCGTATGGTTACTGGCCCGGGACCCCAATGTATTATCCGCCGGGCAATTATCAACCTTATAGGCCTGCATACACGGCTCCCGCTTCTGTTCCCCCGAGCCAACCAACAATACAGACCGAGTCCGAGCTCCAGCCCGGTCCCCGGACTAGGCGCTCGACTTGCTCAAGGTTGGGATCGCAGGGGGCAGGGGCAACGGAGGAACCACTGTAGGAAACTCATGTCCAGGCAGTAGATGAGCTTGAGCCACAAGACAATCGCGCGAGCGTGTTTGAGCGTCTTCGGCCGGCAATGCGCCAACGATTGGGACCACAAGACCCGGATAGGAGGTCGGTAGACTCGCCTATGCGCGCGGCCAGTCAAGCGGAATCATCAGGAAACAGCGGACCCCATCTGCAACGTCTTCGCCGAGCCCGTGAACGAACCCGGACAACCGAGCAAGATGACACCCGGGAATGGTGAACGAGTTGCGAGCAGAATTCACTCGGTGGCAGCATGGGCATGCTTCGGGCCCTCCGGGCCACACCGCTTCATTATTGCGGACCCCTTCACAGTTGAGATCATGGCTCAGCCGTACCCACTCGACCTGCGCATTCCCGGTAATAAGGAATACGATGGGCGAACAGACCCGGAGGTCCACATCAATACCTATTACGGGAACATGCTGATGATGGGTGTGAGTGACGCGGTGATGTGTCGAGCTTTTTACTCGACGTTATCTGGATGAGCAGCCGAGTGGTTTAGAACGTTGGACCCAGGGTCTATCTCTTGTTTTGCCAACCTGGCGACTAAGTTCAATCGGAAGTTTGTGACTTCGAAAATCATTCAGAAGCCTTACATGTACCTGGAGAAGGCTAAATAGTTGGAAGGGGAGACTTTGACCGACTTTTTGGTTAAATGGAAAGCGGCCGTAGGTGAGGTCGAGCCAATGGACGACCTGACGGCGATCCATATGTTGCACATTTCCTTGAGAGCCGGGTATTTATACCAAGACTTTACTCTTTATCCGCTGGTAACGTATGAGGAAGCACTTCGCCGAGTGACAGATTATGCCAATGCCGGAGAGGCTAACACTGTCAAACGGTCTCAGGAAGTCGGTTCATCCCGGAAGCCCCCTGGACGATCAGATAATCGTTCGGCAGAGCACTACCGATCCCGAACGCGCCCGGAGAACTTCACGACCTTGAACCGATCGGTCGCGAAAGCCTTGTAGTATGCGCAGTCATGTAATCTCATTCGATTGCCACGTCTTGGACAGGAAGGGAAGGACAAGCCAAAGCATTGCGCTTATCACAGATGCAGTGGGCACGATACTAAAGAGTGTACGACTTTGAGACAATTGTTAGAAGACCTACTTCAAGCCGGCAAGCTGGACAAGTGCATGGGAAAGAGAGAAGAGAATAAGAAATCGACCGGGAAAAGAGACCATCGGCGTTCCGATTGGTCTGAACGGTCGAACCATGACCAGACAGACTCCGATCCCAAGTATGACAGTCACCCTACATCTAAGCCGACCATCCATGTCATATTTGGGGGTTTGGAGGATGCATCTCAACCCCGAGAGCCTTACCCGGTCGCGATTGTGGAATCTCGCGAGACCGGTAAGCGACAGAAGATGGAGCCGATCACCTTCGCGTTGGAGGATCAGCCCGAGACCGGGGATACGGGGATGGAGGCTCTGGTAGTTACAATTGATATCATGGGAGTAGATATACAGAGGGTGATGGTTGATACTAGAAGCAGCGTGAACGTCCTCTACCTGGACGTTTTTGAGAAGTTAAAGTTCGATCGTTGAGAGTTGACTCCGGTCGGGGCGCCTTTGTCTGGATTTACCGGGGACACTA